TTCAGTGACTGGTGAAGGCCCTTTCCTCACAGATGATGACTTCTCACTGTGTCTTCACATGGTAGAGTGGGGAAGGCAGTGCTGTGGCTTCTTTCACAAGGGCACTAATCCCATGCATAAGGGCTTCATCCCCCATGACTTCATCACTTCCGAAATGCCCTACCTTCTAACACCATCACTTTGGGAGTTAGAATTTCATCATATGAATTTTAGGGGGGGCACCATCAGACCATAGCAATGTTTGACCTCAGCACTTTCTTCTTCCATCATCTTGTGAAAACAAAAGGAAAGAAAAGCAGAGCACCATGCTGCCCTAAGTAAAGACACATTTATCTCTCACTTATTCATTCCGTAAACATCCTTGTGCCCATTACCAGCTAGACTCTGCAAAGACAAGGAGCACTAACAAGTGTCCCTGTCCCCAAGGTGTTTGTAGGTATATTAGCCAAGATGAGTTAACACCTATGAAAACCACTCTTAACTCTCAGTAACCTAATAAGCTATAAGTTCGTTTATCCCTTTGTCCCAGTCTACCATAGGTTGGGGGAAATAGTACTCCACACAAACCTTCAGGGACTCAGGCTTTCCCTCCTCAGTGGCCCTGTCACCACCACGGCCTCGGAGGTCTCCAGGCCCTCTTTGTCTGTCTAGCAAATGAGAGGAGAGAACGTGAAGGAGACACAGAGAATTTAAAAAGCTGCCACATCCGCCCACATCCCCTGTGCAGGACTCCATCCCAGAGCCACGATGGCCTGCAGCAGAAGCTGGAAGTGTGGTGCCCATGAGGAAGAGGGTAAAGAGTGAACACACGCTCTGGTACTATGGATGAACACACACTCACCATGGTCTAGTCACCCCAATCAGGAAATAGAAGTCCCTTTTCCACCTGCTCTTAGCACCAAACTCCTTTCTGCCCAGAGATGAGCAAGCAACTGGAAGTTTGCATCCAACATTTACATTCTTTTCTTGGAACTCCAAATCCAAGAACATCCTTCCATTTCAACCGCTTCGTTTTCTTCTGACAATTTCCTTTAACAAGCACAAGTGTTCCTTTCTAACACATTTAACCAGAGCAGAGCAAAGTTTAAAGTAGAAATATAAAATTCTCTGCTGAGAATTATTGTTTTTTAGTCTAGTGAACCTAATCATTTAGTAATTGAAGCTCTCCATAGCAAATGTGTAATCTCCTGTAGATCAAGTGAAAATATTTAAAATTATTTTCCAAATGTCCAGGCAACCCTGTGGGTCTCAGTCCCCTTCTTCTTATTTACAGAGCTTTCTGGTTGGAAGGGGAAAGAAAGAAACAAGAAGTCCAGGTGCTCAGGTATGCTGAACGGTAAGTGAAGAGCCATGTTTTTTGTCTCAGTTTTACTTCCAGTTATATCAGAGCCAGGACAGCCACATTCAAAAACCTTAGAAGTTCAGCCAGGCCAACATGGTGAAACCCCATCTCTACTAAAAATACAAAAATTAACCAGACGTGGTAGTGCCGCCTGTAATCCCAGCTACTCGGGAGGCTGATGTGGGAGAACTGCTTGAACCCGGGAGGTGGAGGTTGCAGTGGGCTATGATGAAGCCACTGCACTCCAGCCTGGGTGACAGAGTAAGACTTGGTCTCAGAAGAAAACAAAACAAGAAAAAACCCTTAGAAGTTGATACCTAAATAGTCAATGGGCACAACAGAAATGTTATTCATAAATTAAAGTGTGAGGCTTGGCAATTGAGCTAGCAAGTTTCTGTCTGCCTATAATCTAAAATCCAGTAAGGCAATAATGATTTCTTCTTATTGCCATGGACCTGTTCAGGGCATCATACTAAGTAAAAAAAAAAAAAAAAAAAATTCAGTGGCTGAAGACAACAACAATGGTTTATCATCTCTATGGTTTCTGCGGGTCTTGGCTCACTCAGGCATTTCTGGCTGGAATCCCCCGAGGGCTGGGCTGTGGTCCCTCATCCTGGGTGTCGGCCACTCCTCAGGGCTGCTTGAGTGTCCTCACAATATGTCAGCTGGTTTCCCACAGAGTGAGCAAACCAAGAGAGTGCGGGCCAGGCGCCGTCTGTGATCTGTATCACCTGTTATGACACAGCTTCGAGTCACATAAAGTGACCTCCATCAGAGTCTACTGAGGGAAGCAGGTTTTAGGGAAGGGGACAGAGAGCTCACCTCCCAGAGGAGGGGTGTCAAGCCATACTGCAAGTAAAGCTGATGAGAGAGTTTTTAGGTTGATGTGACTGCCTTTTGAAAATGCAATCTTTTTTAGGGCCTAGCATGCAAACCTTGGCTTCTAAAACTAACCCTGAGATCATTTGATCTAGCTAAACCCACACAGCCAGGAAGTGAGGGAGGGGTGAGGAGAACAGAGGCTGTGGACTCCGGAGCCCCTTCCCCAGCACTCTGAGAGGTCTCCACCAAGGAGGAGATTTTGCTTTTTGTTTGGAGACAGAGTCTTACTCTATCGCCTGGGCTGGAGTACGATAGCACAATCATGGCTCACAGCAGTCTCGGCTTCCTGTGGCTCAAACGATTTTCCCACCTCAGCCTTTTGAGTAGATGAACTACAGGCATGTGCCACCACGCCTGGCTAATTTTTTTTTTTTTTTTTTTTGTAGAGGCACGGTCCCACTATGTTGCCCAGGCTGGTCTTAAACTGAGCTCATGTGAGCCTCCCACCTCAGCTTCCCAAAATGCTGGAATTACAAGCATGAGCCATAGTGCCTGGCCAAGATATGATTTAATACAGCACTCTTGCTGGATACTCAATGTTAGCCCTCACTGAGCAGGTGGTGGACAATCCCAGCCCTATCAGAGTAACAAGAAAGGAGATAAACTCTGTGAAAGGCTTCAGGGCAAGGCTGTTATCTGTAGCATCAATAACAATGATAAATCCTGACCTGGCCTGAACTCCTCCCAGGACCCACCAAACCAAACGCCCTCCATCCCACATGCAGCTGGGTCAAACACCTGATGCATAATGCTGGGTGCCCTTCTGGGTGCCATTAAAGGAAGAGAAAAAATTAACTGTGAGAGTTTTAGAGACCTAAAAATGTGCAGGGCAGAAGCTGCAAAATGGCAGCAGGCCCAGCACCGACTGGATGCAAGTATGACTTTCCATGGGCCCACAAGCAGCTCTGAGGTCCTAGGCCTGGCTGGTCTGCGACTGTGGAACAGTAAGATTCAGGGTTCCAGGAGTGTGATGGCCAAGAACCCACGCCACCCCTGCCCCAGGCAAAGGACTCAGCTTTCAGCTGCAAGAACTCCACAGAAGCCTATATAGGGTCTTGGAAGACAGCAGGGATCTGCCAACAGAGTCCTGTCTCTGTCTTCGCCTCCCTCTCACTCCTCTCTCTGCTGCTTCACTAGACTTTGAAAAATATCATGGACGGAGCCATTGGGTCTAGGGCCAAGAAAGGGGCTAAAAACCTCCAACCTGGGTAACTATCATTAACACTAAGATCGTGAAAGTCAAGATAAGCCCTCTGCTCTCTGATCCCCACCCCACCACGAGATTTGCAGGGCAAGTCTGGGAGGGAAAAGAACCAAGTCCTGATAAACGTAAATTGACAGGCGCTCCTGTTCACAATCTGTTCTAGATGCAATTCCACGTGGCTCCCCCAAGACAAAGATGTTCCCCTTTGATGGTTCTGCTGTCTTGGGGAGAGGCTCCGGCACATTCTGACTGGCCAGTTCTTGCTCCCTAAAATAGCCTGTGGACTGTGCCCTCCTTGGGGTCAGGGAGGCAGGACAAACAGCTCCTCTCCAGCCCACCCTCATGCTCCCACTCTGTTCTCCTCGCTGACCTGGCCACAGGCTCTCCCACCCCAAAGGAACCCACAGTATCTCCGGAGCTCTGCCCTGAGCAGCCCCATGCTAGGGAGGAGGGCTGGGAAACAGGCCCTCACCACCAGAGCATGCGACACAGCCTATGAGATGGTGACAGTGGGTCTGGCTTTTTCGTACAAGTTGACCAGGGCTTACGCTCCTGCAATGCCAGGTCAGAAGCACAGGCACCAAGTTCTCCTCCAAAAGCTTGACTCCTTTGGAACTCACTTCCTGCGGGGGCCAGAGCAGAGCGTACCCCTACCCCGAGTCCTGGCACAGGGACACGGCCATATAACCTGGAGACTCTTCCTGCTACAGCCAGGAAGTCACCTCCTGCCACCAGGAGCCGGGGCTGGAGAGGGCTGGGCTGCCTGCCCGGCTCACACCAGGAGTGGTGTGGCTAGGACCGAAGAGGGGACTCTCAGGCCTGTCTGGAGCACCTTGGGCGTGGAGTCATAGGGGAGGGTCTAGACAGTGGCTATTCATTGCTTCTCCTTCCGCAGCTGCAGAAACTTCCTCCCCAGTCTGAGTTGGGCAGGGCCCACTTGCGTCTGCCTTCAAATCCCTTTCCTGCTGGTCAAAGGCAACCCCTCTGACTCTGCCAGAGAGGGCCGGAAATCCAGCTGCCCACAACATATCCTGCCATGGCCTCACAGAGAGGACATGGGACCCGGGGAGGCTGAACAGGAAAGGCAGAAAGTGGATCCCATCCACCAGGACAGCAGATTCGGTGCCTTGCATGATGGCAGCTGACTGTGGTGGGTGCCGCCATTTCAGGAACCCCCAATGGGCCTTTGGTGCCTCCCAGGAGCCCAAGGTGGCAGTGACTGCACACAGCCAGCTAGGAACGTGTCTGTCCGTGATGTGGTCCCCACTGGGCAGGAATCTGGGGCTGAGGCACAGTCTCTGCTCCTCTGTGCAGGGGTGGGACTGCCTGATAGGTGTGTTTTCCCACTGCCCCCACTCCCGCCAACAGCCCAGAGAGGGGAAGTCAGACATCCCTCATCCGCCACAGATGGCAGGAGCCAGAAGACAGGGGCCCTGGGGCCACCAGAAGCAAAAGTCCACCGGTGGGCCCTTGGTTATGATGAGGATCGAGTGGAGCGCATCTTACCAGTGTGTCCCAGAGACCCAAGCTCCTCCCCAGATAACACGCAGACTGAGCGCCCACTTCACCTACCCCAGCTTCTGCTCAGGGCCTCCAATCTTGGGCTCTTGGGGTTGGGAGGCTGCATCCTCTGTGGTGGGGGGCCCAGGCTTGGGTCTCACAGGTGCTCCAGACCCATCCTCCTTACCCCCAGAGCCAGGATGAGGATCAAAAAAGCCAGGAAAGCCAGGATAGCAGGAACAGGGAAGCCACTGGGAGGAGGAAGGAAAGACAGAGGGGCGGAGACCAGCAGCTGCTCTTTGAATGAAGAGAAAGCATTTCAGGAAGCCAAACAGAATGTCAGCAAACCTCAGAAGCAATTCGCTCCCCCACGCCCAGCCTTATGGGGTTCCCACTGGTGCACCAGGCGCAGGCCAGGCCGACCCGGAACATTCAGTACAAATGCTGGGCTGCCAGCTTGTCCCTAAAATAAGACTCCAGCTGTTGGCCACAGAACTGCTTGGAAAGTAGAGCTCCCTGGGACAGGAAAGGAGCCCTGCAGGGCAGAGAAGCAAAGCTGGGGGAAGCGAGGCCTGCTTCCATGTGGCCGAGGCTGGATGCGAGAGCTGTGTGACTGCTGCCAAGAGCTGCTGGGGTGGGGCCCCAGGGGAGCTGCTGACGCTGGAGCCATCTTGCCATTCTCACAACGGTTTCTTCTGAAATCGACATCCTTCTTTTTCTGCACTTTGACCCCCACCTGGTCTTGGCAAGGGTCCTTGGGCCACACAGGGCAGGCTAGCATAGGGGTCCTTTTCCCCATTCTTCAACATCCTGGCCCTTGAAGGAGTGAAGCTGGGGCCCCAGGAGCCACACTGCAGGGACCAGTCCCTAAGCAGGCAGGCAGGCTAATTCACGTGGGCTGCAGAGGAAGGCGAGGGAGGCAAGGAGCAGGCCCAGATTCCTCAGCAGGGCTGAAAATACCCATTAGTGACGACGCTGCCGCAGGGAGAACCAAGCTCACACTTCCGGGCGAGTGTGAGTGCAGGGCTATTAAATGACACGAGACGCTTTGAAACGAAAAACAACTTGAGACTTCCTCCTCTGTGTCGCCATCCATGTACAGAGGAAGTAAGACACTAGCAGGTCCTCCAAGAGGGTGTCCGCCTGTACATCATTCCTCCACCCCACACTATTGGGTGAATATGTAACAAGCGCACTTCTTGCTCTCATCAATGAAACAATGAATATTTGTGAGTCTTTCCTACAAGGCCAGCACTGTCCTAAGCACTTTCTCTGCATTTCCTTCTTTAAACCACATGGTAACCCTAAGAGGTAAGCACTGTTATTATCCTCGCTGTGCAGATGAAGAAACTGAGGCAGGGAGAAGTAACATAGCTTGTACCAGGCCAGGCAGCTGGTGATAGGGGCCTGGCTGGAGACTGTGTCCTCTGCCTTGCCCATGTTACCCCAGGTGGTGGCAGCTGCTCAGAGCCGTCCACACCGTGCACACTTGCCAGTTCATTCTATGGAGCCCACACTTCTCCACAAGGAATGAAGAGGGATATTGCAAGGAGGAGCAGGGGGAGGTCATAACTGGGATGGTTGAGCCTTCAGAAAGTCCCTAGGCACATCCCAGGCTACCTGCTCCTCCTCTTCCAGAGCCACTGTGTGGTGTTGGACAGGCTGGCAAGAGCTCAGGGACTGGGGCTCCTCGCCTTTAAGATGGAGCAAGGTGAGCCCAGGCCACGTGGCTGTGACTTGTGTTGGATTCACTCCTACGGTGCAAGAATGCCTCCAGAACAAAACAAGAGCCTGCCCCTGGAGTCTGCATTTTAGCAGAGCGGGGAGTGCTGGATCACCAGGACACCGTACAGAAGTGAGTCCTGCAGAGATGCAGTCTGGAACAAGGCTGTGAAGAGCCAGCAAGCCCAGTGGTGTCCAGAGCAGATGGCGGGTCTCAGGGGGAGCCTGCCCAGAGGTCCTGGGGAGCTGAGCTGCCCAGAGGGAGGCGGGAGGCGGGGCAGAGGGGCAGGCCTTGATCACGGAGCTCCAGACCCTTGGAGAGGTTAGGTGAGTCACCCGAGGCTGGATTCGCAGAGTTCGGCCAGTGAGGTGCAGCCCACAGGAAGAGACACGAGGGGAAGCCCCACCTGGTGCACGTGCCTGCATGGACAAGGCTGCTTGTCCCACATCCCAGAGCCCCCTGGTACCTGCCCATCCACGGGCCATGGTTCTGGACTGACTTGGATTCATGATGCCCACGTAGTTCAGATTTAGAGGATGGCAGGTCCTAACACCTTCACTGGCTGGGCCCAAAGCCAGGAAGCCCATGTGGACAATAGGGAGGGGTGGGGTGCTCGGAAAACTGGAGGCTGTGGGCCCAGCAGACCACAGGTTTGAAACACAGGATTCTGTTGTTAAATTTGTCTGGGACCTGGCCGGGCGCGGTGGCTCAGGCCTGTAATCCCAGCACTTTGGGAGGTCGAGGCAGGCGGATCACGAGGTCAGGAGATGGAGACCATCATGGTTAACACAGTGAAACCCCGTCTCTACTAAAAAATACAAAAAATTAGCCAGGCGTGGTGGCGGGCGCCTGTAGTCCCAGCTACTAGGGAGGCTGAGGCAGGAGAACGGTGTAAACCCAGGAGGCGGAGCTTGCAGTGAGCAGAGATGGCACCACTGCACTCCAGCCTAGGCTACAGAGCGAGACTCTGTCTCAAAAAAAAAAAAAAAAAACTTGTCTGGGACCTGAGTCGTGTCCCCCAGCCCCTGGTGAAGCTTCCAGCTTCGTGGAAGATCAATTTTTAACCTAGTTCAAACCACCTCTACTGAGACAACTGAAAAAAAGACTTGAGGCCAGGGACAGGATGCATGTGGAGATGGACTTCTGGTGCAGATGATAGGCCTGGCCACAGAGAGGAGTCCTGCAAGGCTCCTGCTAACCTGGGAGAGGATGAGGCAAACACCTGCTCCAAATGAAAAGACATCCAGACACACAGGCCCAGACACACCACTCTATAGACACATAGTCCCCGGACACACAGTCCCCAGACACACAACCCCCAGACACACAGCCCTACAGACAACCAGGCCCCCAGACACACAGCTCTACAGACACACAACCCTACAGACACACAGCCTCCAGGCACACAGCCCCCTAGACACACAGTCCCCAGACACACAGCCGCCTAGACACACAGTCCCCAGACACACAGCCCCCTAGACACACAGTCCCCAGACACACAGCCCCCTAGACACACAGTCCCCAGACACACAGTCCCCAGACACACAGCCGCCTAGACACACAGTCCCCAGACACACAACCCCCAGACACACAGCTGCCTAGACACACAACCCCCAGACACACAGCTGCCTAGACACACAACCCCCAGACACACAGCTGCCTAGACACACAACCCCCAGACACACAGTCCCCAGACACACAACCCCCAGACACACAGCCCTACAGACAACCAGGCCCCCAGACACACAGCTCTACAGACACACAACCCTACAGACACACAGCCGCCAGACACACAGCCCCCTAGACACACAGTCCCCAGACACACAGTCCCCAGACACACTGCCCCCAGACACACAATCCCCAGACACATAGCCCTATAGACACCCAGGCCCCCAGACACACAGCCTGCCGACACACAGCCCCTAGAACACGTGGTGCTCAGCGGTGAGACACAGGGAAGGAAGCCCGCAGCCGGCTCTTGGAAAATCACGCATTTGGGATAGTCATTAAAATCTTCTGAAGCCTCCCTTCTTCTTAGGGCTGCTGCAAAGTACAATAGAGCTCACATGTGATAGAGAACAAGCACCTGCAGGTGCAGAACTGACTTCCTTTAATTTCCTTAAACACAGGTCAATTCTTTTTAGTGTATTTTGTTTTTGATGAAGTCTTGCACTGTTACTTAGGCTGGAGTGCAACGGCACAATCTTGGCTCACTCTTGTCTCTACCTCCTGTGTTCAAGTGATGCTTCTGCCTCAGCCTCCCAAGTAGCTGGGATTACAGGTGCCCGCCACTATGCCCCATTACTTTTGTTTTGTTTTGTTTTGTTTTGTTTTGTATTTTTAGTAGAGACAGGGTTTCACCATGTTGGCCAAGCTGGTCTCAAACTCCTGGCCTCAAGTGATGTGCCCACCTCAGCCTCCCAAAGTGCTGAGATTACAGGCATCAGCCACGGCGCCTGGCCTATTTTTTTAGTGTATTTTTAAATTTGTGGAAAAGGCCTATGTTTTCTTTAATGATGAGTATCTGTCACAAACTGGGGATTAAAAAACTAAATCTATCTCAGGGACTTATTTCTATTAGGAAGCTAATCAGCATAAAAGTAGCAGCTGGATACCTGACCATAAGGCGGAGGCATCCTGTAACTCAGCGAAGAGATCTTTGATTCCAGGAGCCTACGCTTGGGGTGGGCCTACTGCATCTCTCCTGAGGGAGCCGGGGCCTCCTGGAGCCCTGGAGAGGTGGGCTCCCAGAGCGCAGGCAGGACGGACCCTCAGCCCTTTGCTCAGGAGGGTTTTGGCAAGTGTCTTGTGGAATGGGAGATTCTTACATGTGGCAAAGATGGTAGCAGATGTGGCACCGTTTCCGGAAGATCCAGTCCCTGCTAGGTGGGTTTTCGAGCTCCAGTACGGTGTTAGGGCTCTGTCAAGTGGGGCGTGACTGCCAAGACCAGACGGCCAGGTGGAAAGGAATCTATCAGCATCTTGCAGTTTGTGTTTCTTTCATTCTTGGTCCCAAATGTGTACTGCTTGTTATCTACAGTCATCAGAGATTAGTTTGTGGTTATTCTCAAGGGAGGCCATACAAGGATGGAGAAGCATGTTGAATTCCTCTACCTTGGTGAGTCAGATGAAAGAAATCTGAGTGGACCCTGGGCCATGCATCCAGGAACCATGGCTCACCCTTGAGCAGCCTGTGTGAATTTCAGGCATATCTCTGCAGCTGCTAGGGGAAGAGCCATCTGTGTGAAGCACTGGCCATGCAAATCTACTGTCTCTACATGAATGGCAGCTGGCATGGTTGGAGGACTGCCCTGGTTCATACATGGCGCAGCTAGAGCTGTCTACAGAGCCATCCAAGGTGAACAGTGGTTGGCCAACGTTAGCAACCCAGCCACGATGGGCTTTTGGAGCTTCTCTGAGCACACATGGTTAGCACCTCTAATGGCTTAGCAGAGTGAGGGTGCTGCGGGGGTGGGCCTTGAGCCATGGCCTGGACCCTGAAATGCGTGGCACTGACCAAAATCCCAGAACTTTCCTGATTGTGTTTTTCCTAAAAGATGCCACCCACAAACACTAGGTCCTTCCACCCTCGGGTGATCTGCTGGGCTGCCTGCTGTTCAGGTGGCACCCTGGGCTGGCTGCCAGGGGAAAGCAATGCAGAGCACCCCTGGCCACCTGGAGACACTCTCAGTCTGGCTTAAGCCATCTGCACTTTACCTTACCAACATGGCAGGTAGACTAGATGG